CCTGGGAGACTGGGTAGCTCTTGGTGGCAGTGCAGGGAGTCCATTCAAAAAGTAGGCTGTGCCCTCCCAGTGACGGGCAGCTGTTCCAGGGCACCAGTGCTTGGCTCAGCGCTGCGAACTCCCTGTGGCCTTCACATGGATGGGGGTGCAACAAAGAGTACTGAGAAGATAAAGCAAATCATTCAAACACAAGGAAGCCTAGTCCTACATGGAATGGGGCAGAGTAGGGGTGAGGGTGGGGGTGGGAGGAAGGGGCTGTACAGAAGGTGAGTCAGCAGGTGTGTGCTGAAGTTTTTATAAAACTCTCACACAGCCTGTCAAATCTCAGAGGGAAGGTGAGGGAGGGTGAGTGGGTGAGAAGCAATCAACCAAAGAACTTGTATGCATATAGGCATAACCCATGGACACAGCCAACAGGGGGCTGGAGGCCTGGGGCGGGGGACAGGGCCGGGCTATAAGGGGTCAATGGGAAAGAAAAGGGGACATATGTAAAACTTTCAACAATAAAGATTTTAAAACAAGAAATAAGACTCTCAGAAAGGCTCTTCTCACTTCTCCCATTGTCTGGGACTGCCACACCTTTGGTGTTTCCTGAAGAGTAATTTTTGGACCACACGTGTCAGTCACCTGGGGGTGTGGGTTAGCGGGAGGTTCTGAGCTCACCTCCAGTCTCTCCCCTGTCCCCGCCCACCCTCTGGGGAAGGAAGGGTCCGGACAACCAGCATTCTAACGAGTTCCTAGACGATTCTGTCTACACTGACTTTGGGAGCTGATGTTCCCTAGTTCCCATATGCCTTTACCTTCCTGCATGTCCGAGCCGTTGTACAGCCAGGTTACTGATAGTAATCTTTTTCTTGTTTTTCCTGATAACAATCTTTTAAGAGCGTTCGATGAGGACTGGGAGAGAATCGGAGGGACCAAACCTATTCACAGCTCCTCAGAGAAAAGTGGGCGTGAGGCCGGGAGACGAACTTGGCTGCTATCAATAGAGATATGAAAAGCACAGGGCTCATTTCCGAACGGTGCAGTCTGTGCTGTTCACGAGCTCGAGGCTCGCATTTGGGGTTCTTAGATCTAAGAGCTAAGTGACCGCTGATCTGAACGGCCTGGTATGTGGTTTGCAGATCACGTTCGCTAAACCCCCAGTTACAATAAGCAGGGATGTTCCAGTTGCATCCTAAGGCCGCATCCTTGCCCTGTTTCTCTCTCTCTCCTTTACAGAAGGCACGTGCTGCCGTGGAGATGCTCAGCTGGGCTGGAAGCGTAGTCCTGTTCATTTCTCAGCCAGATTGCTTTCCTGGCCCAGAGCTTTTGTTCTAAAAGCACAGCGTCTATTGTTAATGCCTCTTTGGCCTGTCCTCTGTCCCCGCTCACCCCATCCCTGTCCCCGTGCTTAACGGCAGGTAAACATATTCCTACTAAATGTCTGGATGGTGTCAGAGAGCTGGGGCCTTCTGAGAAATGAGGCTCTACGGGATCTAATCGAGCCTGGGCCAGCCGCGATACGGATGAGTTCAGCCAGTGTCTGGAAACACCCACTTCCCCGTCCTTCGCTTCTCTAGCTCTGACCCTGTGCCCCATTCACAATGCAGGAACAAATCTAGTTTGGGGAGTTGTGTCAAAACCACAATCGTGGCAACCCTGTTCTATACTGAGAATAAAACCAACAACCCAGTAAGACAAGGGAATGAGTAACAATTTTGTATCCCTTGTTGTCAGTGCAGAGAAAGGGCTGGAAACCAGAAGTAGTCCTGTGGCACCTGGTGGGAGGCTACCGGAGCTGGGGTTGTCTGTTAGTCGCAGATCCCTGGCCCCGAGCTCACTCCTGACCAGTGTAGGATTCCTGCCCTGGAAGGCCGTTACCCTGGACACCTTGAGGGTGAGCGTGGGAAGAGCTGCAGCCCGACGGACGGGGCGGACTTGACCTCTAAGACCCAGACCTCAGCTCCCCATACCTTCGTCAGTGGTTACAAAAGAGCATCCCGAGGTGTCCCCAGGGCTCCAAGGAAGGCCAGGGGCCGAGGGGACGCAGCGTGGCTGCCTAGGACTCACGAGTCCGGCGCCCCCTCTGGTACTCCTCCAGCTCCGCTTTCCTGCTCACTGCCAGCTGCAGCTCCTGCCGGATCACCTGGATCTGCTTCTCCAGCTCCACCAGCTCCTGCATCACCGAGGTCCGCGCTCCCTGCAGGGAGTCCGCCTTCCCGTTGGTGGTCAGCGAGGCGGGGAGCTCTCTCCTCCGGGGAGGGAGAGGGATGTCCTGGGGGGCCCCCAGGCCCGGCTGGATTCGTCCTCCCTCCTCACTGAAGATGTATTTTCGCGGGATGTCGTGACTCTGATGGGGAGTATTCCACACGGAGAGCTGACGGGGTCCCTCGTTGGACCTAGGAAACAAAGAGGCGCTGTAGACGTGGGCTGACCTGCCACGCCACTCCCCATCTGCCAGCCGTTTCCTGTGCGGATGCTGTAGGGCTGGGCCACACTCGGAGATGCAGGAACGAAGCGGTCCACAGCCTGCCTGCCAGCTAGCGCCATGGGGATGAAAGGAGCCAACACAGCGGAAGGCCGAGGTCTTATCAAGTCTGCTGCTGCCCTGAACCTGGAATGGGTGTGTGCACCGGAGGGCTGACGGGCCAGGGTGTGGCACATCTCACACAAAGAACCTTAGATGCCTTTTATTTCCTTCCTGCCCGTTGGGCTCGGAGATCAGCACTGCCTTGAAAGGGTCTGTGGCTAGAAGGACGGCGCTTTAGTAAAAGTAGGAGTCAGTTTCTTCAGCTGTGGACTCTGAGCATGCGCCTCAGGGTGGGTACTACAGTGTGACTTACCTGCCATCTCGCAGGACCACCTGATGGTGACTGCTTGAGTCTGAGATAAAAGCATACACGTTGCAGGTTTCAGCAAAACATTTCTCATTACAGGGATGGCTTTATGTGTGTTGGGACTGACAACAACAACAACAACAGCAGCAGCAGCAGCAGCAAAACACAAGAAAGCCTCAAGCTCTGGCCTGGATAATGAAAGTCAAATAGAAATAGACTCGCAACGCTCTATCAGGCTTGCGTCGAATCACCCACCACCATCTCAGAGAGATGGCTGCAGACAGCCAGCGAGTCCCTGCTGGCCAGGCATGGGAGGAGGAGGATCTGGTTTCTGAAATACACTTTGACAGTGGATGCAATGAGAAGAGTTTCTTGCTATAAGAACAGATTAGAACCCAAGCAGCGAAGCTGCTGATTTCTTCCAGCCTTGTTGGAGGAGGGGGAGGAGGAGGGGAGGGAGGAGTAGGGAGAGGAGAGGGAGGAGGAGGAGGCAAACAAGGAGGAGAAGAAGGAGGAAGAGGAGGGGGAGGAGAAGGAAGGAAGAGGAGAAGGAGAAGAAGAGGAGAGGGAGGGGGAGGAGGAGGGGAGGGAGGAAAAGGAGGAGGAAGACAAGGAGGAGAAGGAGAAGGAGGAAGAGGAGGGGGAGGAGAAGGAAGGAAGAGAAGGAGAAGAAGAGGAGGAAGAGGAGGAGGAGGATGAGGAGGAGGAGGAGGAGAGGACCACTTTTGCAATCTACCACAGGGTTAAACAAAACAAAAATGCTCTATCTGGCCCTTGTGCCTTGGTCCCTACCCCTATAACTAAAGCAAGACTTTATTCCTGGACTCTCACTTGCCAGGAAGAGAGGAGAGGACCTGCAGGGGGAGGGATAACAAAGTCTTGATTGGGTTACACGGATGACTTCACAGGATGATTCTATTTCATTTCCCCTGTGGCAGATGGCAAAAGTGGTCACCAGCCTTTGTTCCTCCTTTCATCCCTGCTCCTCATGCTTATCACGGGGAGTTCAAGGGCGGGAGTCTGCTTTCCCTCCACTTTGAATTCGGTCCGGTCTCAGGACTCCTCTGGGCAAGAGAAAGTGGCAGAAGTGGCAGAAGCTCCACGCCCAAACTTTTAAGAAGCCTCACACATTTCCACTGTCTCTCAGAACTGCTGCTGCCACGTGAGCAAGTCCAGGCTAGTCCACTGGATGGTAGCAGACCATTGGAGAGAGTCCCAGTCTTCCCAGGTGGCCCAGCCGAGGCCATCACAGACAATGCCAGCCCCGAGCAGCTGCCCCACCCCACAGGCTGGCTGCAGACATGTGAGCAAATGCAGCCAAGATCAGCCAAGTTTGGCCCAGATCAGTAAATGGCACAGCTGACCCATAGATTCATAAGCGACTCACTGTTGTTTAAAACATTAAGTATTGAGATAATGTCTTACAGTAAAAATTAACTGTTACATGCCCCAAGCTATTAAAACACACAAACACATTCTAAACTACCCTGTAGTTCTTTAACATTTCTCATAGTCTAAGTCTCATATACGTGAGCAGGGGGTACCAGACCTTACCTCTCATGTATCCTGGGCTGGGTAAAATTCTATAATGAACCCACTTATACCTGGATCAGACATGTGGTTATAATTTTCCTCTAGCCTTATGCTTCCCTTTAATTTTTTCTTCAACTGATTTCCTACTGGGTTTGAATAATTTCAAAACAATCTCATTAGCAATGTGTGTTATGAGGTTTACAATTTTTGTGTATCTTGGGGTGAGAGGAAAGGGGGGGTGTATTGGAAACCCAGTGGGGGTGAAGGAGAGACCAAAACTTACAGGAAATCACATGTTAAAGGGAACCAAGGACTATATGTAAACAGTCTTGCAATATCCACTTTTTTTCTCTGCTTTAAATAAAAATAGAAGCAACATCAACTTTCAGACCATGGCCTAAAATTCTTCCCAGGCTTTCGTCAAACACACATGTTAGTAATCCACTTATTTATCTACTAGTGGCCCGGTGCACAAAATTCGTGCACATCAAAAGGGAATTAATTAGAGGAAATATTTCAATATTGCTATTTGCCTTTTCTCTATAATAGAAGAGATGAAAGAAAATCAGTAAAGTGTATAAGAAAATCTCCCTCTTGTCAGAGTCTGGGGTGCACCGTGGGACCCAGAGTCAAATCCCTGCCCACCACCTGCATGCACTTCGAAAACTCAGGAGACCCAGATCCGGTCGGCCCCACTCCCATTGGGTAAGACCCAGACCTGGACAGCCCCACCCCTGTCAAGCCCCTCTGGCGGGGGGCACAGCCTCAGGTCCCCATGAAGCCCCATGGAGGGGAGTGGCCTGAGGTCCCTGTGAAGCCCTGTGGGTGAGGGGGCGGCCTGAGGTCTCCCGGCCCAGAGCCGGGGGGGGGGACATG